AAATCACATAAACACTTAACAGGTAGTTATGGAACTAGAAAACTTCATTAGGTGTTAACCTTTTTTTTTTTTTTTTAAACAGAAAGCTTACAGGTTTTGTTCCTGATGGAAATAGAGAATGTAATAGAATTATATATGTGTAATAGTGAATTATTTCCCCCAAATTTAATAGCACATAATTCATTTGCAATTAAAATTTCCTTATTAATTTAGTTAAAATATGTACTTAAAAACTCACATTTCCAATAGCCAGTAGTGCTTTGTCAAAAAAGAGAATCATTCCAAAGAACAGGAAAAACACTCCAAATCCTGTTAATCCCATTCCAATTTCTGCAATATAAGTTATATGGTTAAGGGTACAGAAAAATTAAAGGCACATTAACATCCCTGTAAACTAAGAAAGAACATTTTTCAGTTTTTCTTTTGGTTGATATAAGGAAATAGGCCCCCAACACTGCAGGTCAACTTCATAATGACATTCATTAAGATCTTAACAAATTAAATTAACATCAGCAAATTACAATTTAAAATATGAATGTGAATTTCTAATCTTTGTATAGGAGATAACATTCACAGACATACCCATAACAGAAAAAGATAAATCAGGATTCTAAACTTTTGGTTATACACTTTTTCCTCCTCCCAAGAACCTCTCTAGCGCCAAATATAAATATATAGGTTTCCAATTTATCTCCTTTCATATTCTATGACTATTATTAACATGTACAATATCTGTAGTCCCTTCTTAAAATTAATTACTTCTTTAACCCATTAGAAATTTAGGTCAGCACAATATACTTCATTAAGTTATACACTGCTTCTCATAATGGCAAAAAGAAATGTTTTGGGAATTATGATAGTTGTCTTCTCAAAGTTAATTATCAGATGGTTAGGCATCACTTTTAACTTCTTCATGGCTTATTATAGATTTATTATCAACAAATTTAACTAAACTATGAATTAATGTAGTCTAGAGTCCTAAAATCACCCCTCCAAAGTTTCAAAGAATACTGCTTTACCTAGTGTTAATATTATAGGTTTTTTTCTCTTTCATTCAAAAACAAAGAACCATTGATCAACTACTAGCTGCCAGGAACTGTTCTAGGTACTGAATATACGTTGGTGGACAAAGTATAAGCTTTGACGTCTAAGTTCACCCTGTATATAAAATTAATAATTTTACTGACTTTACTTTTCTAGGTCTTATGTTTTTATTTTGAAAAGTCTTAACTTTCTAAAGTGAGAAATGTACTCTCCTATAATGCTACAAAGCACAATCTACTAAGTCACCTCCTTGAGCACTCTACTTCTGTTTTTAGGAAATATAGCCATCAATCCTTATTTTATCTGCAAGCACTAACTGCATACAGATAATGAGACAGAGCAGAAGTCACCATATTTTTGGAAACACAATTTTAAATACACTATTAGTTATTCTTAATGTTACTTAACTTTTTGCCTCAGCTCCGGAAAGCTAAAATATAGGTCACAGCTACTTAAAAAAATCTTAAGTCATACAAAATGTTATGATGACTTGAAACTTTATATCATCTTTACCTTTTTCTACATCACTCACCTCCCTCAATTTTCTAATTACTACTGACTTTCATTCTAGACATCTTTTGCTCCCAAAGTTAGTCTAAAAGAATTCAGATACCTGTATATAAATACACCAGTTTAAGTGTATTCCACAGACACACATTCCTATGAAAATTTGAGGCTGATACTTTCATGCATGCTTAAATGCTTTAAAAGAATTTACTAAAATCTAAACAGTTTAGATGTTAACTGTTTAGACTGACAAAAGAACAAGCAAAATTCCATTAAATAACTATTTGGCAACTGAGGTTTAATCATTGGCAGCTGAGTTATTTGAATATGACCAATTTCCATCTTTTTGCAAAGTATCTGAATAATTATATAGAAATTTTGAGATGTTTTTTCATCAGAAAGGAAATTACATGGAAATACACCTACTAGGTATTGAAAATTTACCATGAATTAGGCATTATGAGGTTCTTCACATACCTTATACAACTTAATCTACCCAATACTACTGAAATGTAGGTATATTGCACCATTGTAGAGGTAGAGGAAACTGAAGGAGTTTAGAGTGTTAACTTAAGTTGCCCAAAGTCACCTTTCTGGTTAAGCATTCGAACCTAAATGTATCTGAATCCAAAGCCCATGTGCTTAATCATTAAGCCATACTTCTTCCCACAGGATTTTTTTCAGGTTAAATATGTTTGGTTAAATGAAACTCAAGGGCACTGGAGTATACTGAACTTCTGAGGGAAGGATCTTTAGGTGATTCAATTTTAATATTAGTTTGTTATCTAACAGCACTAAATAGATGCCAGTAGAACTATTTAAAAATTGACTGCAGGGCCGGCCCGGTGGCGCACTGGATAGTGTGCCGCTTGGGAAGCGCGGTGGTGCTCCCACCTGAGGGTTCGGATCCCACATACAGACCGGTTCCCGCTCACTGGCTGAGCGAGGCATGGGAGCAACGCCAAGGGTTGCAATCCCGTTGCCGGTCCCGGTCCGGTACGGGGGCAACACTGAGGGTTGCGATCCGTTGCCGGACACGGAAAAAGACAAAAAAAAAAAAAAAATTGACTACAGTGAAAAAGGACAACATCTGAGTATGGTTTACCATTTGCAGTGGATTGAATGTCCCCCCAGACTCACCGAACCTTAACCCCCAAAGTAACTGTTGAGGGTGGGAAATCCTATTATGGTAATTGACAGGCAGAGCCTTGAAGAGGTGATTAGATTGTGAGGACCAGGCTCTAGTAACTGGATTAAGAAGTTGATTGTTTAATGGTGGTCACGGGCATGGTTCTGATGGCTTTAAAAGAAGAGCCAGTGAGAGGTTAGTCTCTCTCTCTCTCTCTCTCTCTCTCTCTCTCTCTCTCTCTCTGCTTCCACCCCCTGCCATGTGACACCCTGCTTTGCTGTGGAGAGTAGTAGAGAGAGTACCCACCACCAAGTCTCTCACCAGATGTGTTCCTTGGACTTTGGACTTCCCAGCCTCTAAAACTGTAGGCAATAAATAGTTTCTTTACAAATTATTCAGTTCCAAGTATTTTGTTATAAGCAACAGAAATGAACTAATACACTACTTAATGAAGTATTTATGCAAATATCTTGTAATTCCTTTAACCAAATGTGAGGTAAAAAGTAGCAATGGTCCCATGTTTCATATGGGCAATTAAGGATCCAGAGAAATTAATTACCTTTGATCATAGAATCAGCGAAAGTGTGTGGGGGTAACTGGGGGGTAAGGTTGGATTATGGTGGTGGTGTGGAATCAGGCTAGAATATAAATCCAGTCTTCCACAGCCTATGGCCCTACAACCACAGCTTGGAACCAAAACATTCCTACTCCTTTATCTAGTATTGTCCAGCAGAAAACAGTTGCCTGTAACTTCTTGGCCAAAACTAGCACTGGCATGATGCTGCCAAGTCTCCCCTGATCTAAATGGGTCAAAAGACTCAAACTGTCATTGTGCCCTTTTCTCATCTCCAGAATTCCCTTCCTTCCTATCCTTATGCATTCAGAAGTCCTCTGACCATCAAAAGCCCTACCTAGAACTGCCTTCTTCCCACCAGAATCATACCCAGTAAAATAAATTAATCTTCTTTTTGTGTAGTATCAAACCTTCGTTCCTCCTGCCTATAAGTTTTTTTTTTTAAAAAGAACAATCTGATAAAATTAATTTGTCTAACATAAAAAGCTTATTGTGGAAATTTTATAGCAAAAGAAATGCAAAATCCAATAGCCAACACTGTTAGCATTTTTGTATTTTGTCCACAGTGTATAAAAAGCAGCATTGTCTTTCTTACTATGCTCTTCAAAATACAGAAGTCATTATGAAAAAAAGAATTCAGCTGAATAGCAACTGGATTGCTGTTATACTCAATTGAATATCATGGTAGAATTTTAAGAAATGCAACAAAATGAAATGAAGACAGAGGCTACATGGGAACTGCCTCTTTCTCATCCCTCTGAATAAATGTGTGTGTGTGCTGTTTTAAAATCCCTTAAAATAATCATGAATTGCTATTTATTCTACTCTGATCAGTGCTTGGTCACCCTCTCCCAGAATCAAAATCCCAGAATAATACTGGCAAATCACTTGAACCATGGCCAATCCCTGCAGCTACACACAAATTTGAAATCCGAAAAGCTTTTGGTTCACCAATAATTTTATGTTTCAATTCACCATGTTCCTATTCTGCTCATAGTCCAACCCCACACCCTTGTTCTGGCTTTTAGAAGGATGTAAATCAGGTACTCATCCCTATAACAAGCCTTCAATAGAAGAGAATCTCTATGCACAGGATAAAAAATTCACATTTTTATATATTTAATATCACAAACAGATTCTTTTAAGATCTCAAATGAAGTTCATAACAAGTCTTCTTAGATGCTGGTAGGGTACAATGAGAAAAACAAGGGTTTCTGAGCTAGTAGACCTGGGATGAAGACTTGTTTCTGTCACTTTTCTTATGACCGTGCATTGAGTTTCTTTTGTATCTCAATTTATAACAGGGGTATGCTCCTCTCTGCCTTACAGGGCTCTAACTCATATAATAATTAGACATAATGATTTATATGAAAGCACACAGTGAATTGAAAGTAAGTTTATATAATTGCCACTAATTATTATTGCAGTAGACCCTCCCACCCCCCAAATAAAAAGACTACACTTATACAGGTATTTTATTTTCTCTGATCAGACAGGTAAGGCCAATGGACAAAAATGGGCAACATTCCTGGGCCACGGGAAAAGAGCCTAACTAGGGTGGCAGTGTGTGTAGAAGACCTTAGATGCTCTGCTAAAATCAAGTGTGCCATGACTTGAATCTAAACGTTAAGACTCCACTTTAAAATAGGACATTTTAAATGAAATTCTATTTTCACTTCAATACACTATTTAACTCTTAAACTCTTGAAAATCTGAGTAAGTTAACTGGGTAAGAAACTAAAGGCATGGAAGATAAAGTGAGACAAAAAGACTATCACGACCTTCAAAATATAAGCAAGCACAGAGCTTGGGTACGTATATAAATACAAAAATTACTAAAACTGACAAGGAAGGGTAGAAAAGTGCAAATGTTCTGTTGAAAGAAAAGGAAACAGATAGCAATGCTAACCTGAGATGAGATAGGCCTGGAGAACTCTGTGGCAGGCAGAAAGCGATGCTAAAATAGTAAGCCACAAAGCACAATATGCAAAACAAACGAAAGAAATCCTTTCACTGAGCACAAAGTGGCTTTTTACTACTGCTGAAACTTTAGCGGGTGGAAAAGTGAAGTCGTTCTTAAGGGATTTTTGGAAGGTTGCTTCCAGTGATCGCAAAAGGAGAATATTAAAAACACTTAAGTATAAGCACATTCTCAAAAAGAGCCTGCAGTAGGTGACATTTCGACTCCGAGAGTGGGCCGCGAGCACCGCGCATCAAACTTCCTCTTGTGGCGGTCCCCGGAACAAAGCGCCCATCTCACAGGGCACGGAGAGAGCAGAGCGACCCCGGCGCGAGACTGACGCCCGGCTAGAGCTCCCCCTCCCCAGCTCGGGCGTCCCACCCAGCCCCACTGACTCTCCTCCCAGGACAGATCCGCCACTGCAAGTCTAGCCCCCGTGCCCTCCAGGCAGCCCTCGCCCAGTCTCGCAGGCCGCCGCCCCTAATACGGAGCTTCATTCATTGACCCGGGCGGAGGGGGCGGGCGGGCGACACCCAGCCCCAGCGCGGGGTGTGCAGGGCTCGAGACGGGGACCCTGGGGCAGGCGCTTACTCTGGGTATCCGTTAAGGAGATCATGGCTGCAGCGGTGAGGGCAGCGGCAGCAGCACCTGGAAACGCCCAGGGTGGGAAACTGAGTCGGGCAAAATGAAGCCGGGAAGCAGCCCAGGCGAGAGCCGCCACGTCTTCCGGAAACACGCAGCCACCCCTACCCTATCTTCAAGACCTCTGCCCATTGGCTAAACCCACTCTCAATCTCAACCAATAACCCGTGGCCTTGTTCGGTGATGCACGGTGGCCACACCTCTTGACCAATTAGAGAAGGCTGTTACTTGCGATTGGTTGAACGGACCGACCCGGAAGGGTGGGTGCTCCCGGCTGGATGGCGGGAACGTATTATTGGGGAGCGGCTGACAGGTGCGTAGCGGTCCGGAGCCTGGGCGCTTTGAGGTCGGAGACGGCTCCTTTAACCCCTTGGGAAGAGTTCCTGGGTAACTCCTGTTACAGCTTTGAGGGGCCAAGGGCGTGCGCTCCTTTAATGTTTCCCTTTCCCGCCTGAGGGCGAGGCCGGTCTATCGCGGATCACTTCCTTCCACCGACACTTCGGCGGGGGAGAAACGAGGGCGTCAACTCCCGCCTTGCCCTCTGAGAAGTCCGGCCTTTAGGGCACGCTCGCCTTCCAGCCAGTCTCTTTTTCTCTCTCCAGCCTTTTTCATGCAGGAAGCTTGGCCACCAAAGCCTGTTTATTAGCAGCCACCGTTTATTTGTAAGTTAAACTGGGGATGCTTCCTCCACGTCCTGTTTCACAGTAGCAAAAGGGAGGGTATTGAATGACTGTAACCTCTAAATGCAGGTGGCGGGGAGAGGAGGGATGTGTTTGATTTAACCAGTGGTACCTCGGTGGCATTTCCTCCAACATCGATAATTGGCTGACACACCGTAAGTTAACCTCTAAATGCAGGTGGCGGGGAGAGGAGGGATGTGTTTGATTTAACCAGTGGTACCTCAGTGGCATTTCCTCCAACATCGATAATTGGCTGACACACCGTAAGTTTTTTCTGTGGATAGTGGTGGCTTCAGAATTCTAGGTACGAAGGGTCGAAGGTCAGTCTGAGTAAGGGTAGGGGTGCTGAAGCTACCTTTGGAGAGCATTCTTAGTTTTAGAAAGTGTTGATTGTCCATATTAGAGAACTGGGGGAGGTATTCATAAAATTAGGGGGAATTTAAATTTTCTACTCTGAAGCCTCATCTTCTACTTGCTCATAAGTGGAAATATTAGTCATTCATAAGTACTTAGAGTTCCTTAATACAAGCCAGGTTCTTCCCCACTCTAAACTTTCCATGTTCTCTCCTTCTGATGTCTGTCTGTGGAATACCCATTTTTCTTTTACGGTTGAGCTTAAATTGCAACTCTTTAAAGCAAGTGTTCAATAAAATCGTAAGTGATTAATTTCATTATTTATGTTGACGTATTTTGCTTAGTCTGCGACTTTTGAATCTATTCAAACTGTTATTTATATATAATATAGTTTCTATCATCCCAGATTTACAGGTAGAGAAAGAGGCTTAGAGGAAAAGGATATGTAACTTTGCCAAAGTCAGACAGTAATTTATTGCTAGATCTCTTTAATCTTTGCTCTTTTTTGCTATGTCACTTTATATTTGGTGGATGTTTGGTAAGTGTTATTGACTTTGTACATGTCAGATAAATGTTATGTGACTTTGGACACTTCTCTGAAATCTGGAAAATTTTTCATAAAAATCAGTGTGGGAAGAACCATGTAGTTCTTATTTGAATGGTCATTGCAATATGCAGTTTACTTTCTAACATTTTTGTGCTTAGTAGTGACAGATTATCATTGATTGAACATTGTCAGTAGTACTGCTTAAAAAATTTTAAACCATGATTGTTCTTTCGTTTTTAGAAAGAAATTTGGATCTCCAGTTCAACTTTAGAGAATGGCGTCCATTTCAGGTTAGTGGAAATGATTACATTCTGTAGTTCATTCTGTTCTATTTCTAGTTGTCTGATCTTTGAAAAAAATGTTTGTTTTTAAAATTCTCATTATAGAAATGATGGGGTTTTTTAGCTTTTTTATTATGGTAAAATATACATAACAAAACTTACTCTTTTGACTGTTATTAAGTGAACAATTCATTGGCATTAATGCATTGACATTGTTGTGCAGTTATCACCACTATCCATCTCCAGAACTTTCTAATCATCCGAAACCAGAACTGTGTACTCATTAATCTGTAACTTCTATTGTCCCCTTTCGCCAAAGCCCTGATAGCCACTATTCTACTTTCTGTCTTTGTGAATTTGACATTTTAGTTACCTCATATAAGTGCAATCATATAATATTTATCCTTTTGTGTCTGGCTTATTTCACATAGTGTAATGTCTTCAGAGTTCATCCATTTTTTAACATACATCAGAATTTTATTCCTTTTTAAGGCTGATAATATTCTGTTGTATGTAGATACTACATTTTGTTTATCCATTCATCTGTTGATATACATTTGTGTTTTTCACCTTTTGGCTATTGTGAAAAAGTCATTACTGTTTTCTTTTAAAATAGACTTTTGCACAACATAATGCTGCTATGAACACTGGTGTATAAATGTCTGTTTGAATCCCTACTTTCAAATCTTTTGGGTATATATAGTCATGTGCTGTGTAACAACATTTCAGTCAATGATGGACCACATATATGAAAGTGATCACATAAGATTATAATAGAGCTGAAAAATTCCTATCTCCTCTTGAGGTTGTAGCCATTGTAATATCGTGGCACAACACATCACTTGTGTTTGTGGTGATGCTGGTGTAAACAAACCTACTACAAAATATATTGAGGAGGAGTGCCTAGCTTACACACAGGGTGACCCTCTGAAAGGTAGCTCAGGCCTTTGAGATAGAAAGCCAAGCATTTGACACATGAGGTCTAACCCCAAGTGAAAGGATTGTTGTCCACTTATAATTCTTGCATTTTTAAATAATTCTCACCCATCCCCATAGCAAAATAATAGTTAATAACAGTTAGCTAACACTCACTAGTGCTTGCAGAATGCCAGGCACAATCCCTGCCTGTAATTGAATTTTAATAACTTTGTGGGGTGGTATTATTCTAACCATTTAACAGATGAGGGAAGTGAGGCACAGAGAGACTTGGTAACACAATTAGAGGGCCCACGCTCATGCAACTCGTGGCCAGTGTAGATAACAGGAAAAGTCATTACTGTTTTCTTTCATAATACACTTTCTCACAAAAACAAAATCACCTAGTGACACATTTTTCAGAATGCATCCTTGTTGTTAAGGGATGCATGATGTACTGAGAAGTGGAATTGCTGTATCATATGGTAATTCTATGTTTAATTATTTGAGCAACTGCCATACTGTTTTCCATAGTGGCTGTACCAGGTTACATTGCCACCAGCAATGCACAAGGGTTCTATGGAATGTTTTTGACAGAATTCTAGGAACCTAAGAAAGAGAAGAAAATATAAATCACTTCTAATTCTGCTACTCAGATTAATACCATTAACATTTCAGTGTATTATTTTTCAATCATTTTTAACATTTTGTACATAGTGTGTAACATTTTACACATACTGTTTTGTAACGTGATTTTTTAAAAACATAATGTAAATATAGAATATAGAATATTGTTAAATTAATTCTATTTTGTAATTATTCTGTTTTTAATACCTGCACTGTTTTATTGTTTTGAAGTGGCATTTATTTGCATAATCTTTAGTGTTTACTTTTAGACTGGCTCCCATGCATCAGCTGTAAGCTTCGGAACACTGGAGTGTAACCCCCCTCAATTCAGTGTGCTCTTGAGATGAAGTAGCAGTAATAAGCCCTGTGCACTTGCAGTCCCTCTCCATTATGGACTGGTGAAATCATTCACGTGACTTTTCAATCTCACCTCCTGTAGTAAAATCTTGTCTTGTACAGGCCAGCATTAGAGATGGTATAATTTTGAACAACAATGTTAAAATTCCCTGATTTATTGCAACTAGCTGTACTTTCTTATATTCTTAGTCCATCAGAATTTTGTCTAAGATATGATGATATTGATTTTGTAGCTTGGGTTGACATTAACATCTGATCAGGTAGAATTTGATCAGGGATGCCGAAGCACTGTGACTGATATAAGGGGTTTACTAAACCCCTTGTGTGATTATGGGAAGTGGTTAAGCTCTCTACATATGTTGTCTATGCACCTGGCACTGGGCCTGAAGTTGACAGAGCCAGCAGGTGGGAAGAGAAAGTGGATATGAAGTATGGAAAACAAAGACAAACTGCTACCTGTGGAGAGGAACTTCTGTTTCTCACCAGAACCTGTGTTCGTTTCTCATTGCCTCAAAGCCTCCAATTTTGGTGATGCAGGAGACCTGTCAAGAAGCTGGTGTACTTCACCGTGGAGTTGCACACAATCTGGCTGAGGGTTCAGAGAAGCTGAAAGAGGAGAATTGACAGGCTTTGGAGGAGCTGCAGGCCCTGCTGTTTCCCCAAGGTTATCTAGTAGCAGCTGGAGTATGGGCCCATCTGTTTACCCACACCAGTACCAACGAGGTCACTAACCCTGACTTTACACTGACCTTCTTAAATATGGAATATATGGCTGCTGCTTCACTTCTACCTTCTAAATCTCTGGCAGAGTTTCTCCTGTGCAACCCTAACCTAGAACTGTGCAGGGAAGGGAGTTCTAAGAAGCGTAGTTCTAGCCTAGCAGAGTGATCATAATAGAAAACCACCAGGCTGCACCCCTTGTCTACTTGGCACCCATATGCTTCTCTTTTAATCATATTTAATTTCTAAATAAAGGCAATAGCAAATCATGCTTCTGCCTAAAGTGATATAACTATCCCTCCTACAACCAAGTACAGATTGACCATCTCCCCAAAAGAGGGTACAGATTCTCTTCACTCATCTTTGGGTGATGCTCATTCATTCCTCTTTGCTGAATCATATACTCCTTGATAATCCTGTAATTTATATCCCGACATATGAGGTTAGCTACTATAAACATATTTTATGTTACATGTTGATGGAATAGGAGAGGGACCAAACAAAAAGAAAAACCCAAACTTGGTTTATATACAAATATCAAAATAGGTAAGAAAGGCTTATAGGTAGTACAATTCTTGTTTCTCACCTGGTCATGTCATAGCTGGTATTTTATAACTACCTTCTTTACCCATTTCATATCCTTTGCCTTCACCTGGTCGTGGGTCTTTGACTGGTGAGGATTTGTCTTAGCAGTTGCTTGTATTGGTTGTTGTAGGTTTCCATCACTTTAATCATAGGACATAGGACTACTAAGAGGCTCCCTAGAGGAACCCTTACATTCCAGATATTCTCCTCCTTACCTCTATAGTGTGGTAGCCACCCAATTTCCTCATAATAGTCAGGATCACTTACCTCAGCCAATATAATGACTTCCTTCTTTGCCTGATTTACTATCGTGAGGAACCCAAAGTAGCCAACTGGCAGTCAAATTCCAGTTTAATGGAACCATTGCATTTTCTCCTGGTAGAAGCATTTCTTTCTTGATAAATCAGACCTTTAGACCAGCAGAGTCCAAAGTTTCAGGGATGGGAAGCAAAAAGTTCATTAGTGGATCACTAGGGGTAATAATAAGAGGAGCCACTACCATTTCCACCCCTGATTCCCATGAATCGTGGCTATGGGAGAGTATTCGCTGATGTATAACATATCATATCTTGGAGGATACTACTCCAGCCTTTAAGGTGTTGCCACCCACCTGGCACCATAATTGTCTTCAAGATGCCCCTTCAGTATTCTCTCAGGCCAGCTGTTTCAGGGTTTTGGAGAGCATAGTTAGACCAGTGAATTCCTTGAGCATGAGCCTCCTGCTTTACTTCATTTGCTATAAAATGAACTCTTCAGTCCTGAGCAATTTGGTGGGGAATATGATGACAATCAGTAGGCATTCTGTTAATTTATGGATGATGGATTTGGCAGAAGCATTGTAGGCAGGGAAGGCAAATCTATATTTACAGCAAGTGTCTGTATCAGTGAGAACAAAGTGCTGCCTCTTTCATCATAGAAGGTTCCTGTATAATTAGTTTGCCACTAAGCATCTTGCTGTCCCCCTAGGGATGGTGCCACAATGGGGACTCAGGGTTGGTATGAGTTGACAAAGTGCTGCCTCTTTCATCATAGAAGGTTCCTGTATAATTAGTTTGCCACTAAGCATCTGGCTGTCCCCCTAGGGATGGTGCCACAATGGGGACTCAGGGTTGGTATGAGTTATTTGCAAGTTGGGCACTCAGCTGTGTGTATAGCTAGATTGATCTTACTGAGTGGCAGTCTGTGTTGCTGCAACATGGACTCTTTGTTCTTGACCTCATTGTGCAAGGACAGGCGTGACTAGGAATGAGTCTGACTGATGTCCAGGTGACCTTGTCCACCTGACTAAGATCTTCCTCTGTGGAGGTTATTTTTAGTGAGCATTCACATGGGACACAGCATCTTCACACTCTGCCCATTCAGAGTGATCTACACATAATACCTCTTCGGCAGACCTGTTACAACTAATTTTCCAATTTTCTTTCTTCCAGGTTTCTAACCATCCTGCCAATCCATTAGCCACTGCCTATGACTTAATATGGATCTGTACCTCTGCAAAATGAATAACCATGTGCACTGCATGAAGTTCTGCCAAGTGGGAGAATTTTTCTTCCCATTGTTCTTCAGGCCATTCTGGAGAGCAGTGTAGAGCTTTAGTTATTCACTTTCAGGGAGTGCCAATATATATCATGCAGAATCTTCTGTAAATTATATGTTTAACTGTGTACTAGGTACTGTGTCAAGAACTTGCAATATGTTATCTCAACTTAATTTTTTACGACAATAACATGTAAGTTAGATATTTTCCACATTTTACAGATGGGGGAATTGAAATGCAGGTAAGTATCTTGTCCAAGAGCACTCAGCACGTAAGAGGAGGACCTGAGATTTAACTCAGGTCTGTGTGACTCCAAAACATATGCTCTTAACCACTCTGCTTTACTAATAGTTCATCAGTAATTTAGATGGGGAGGAACATTCAAAAATCAATAGGGACACCTAAAATTGTAATTAATTCTCTGTAGTCATTGTATCTTTCCCCCTCTTCATAGCTCTAACCGAGGAACTGGATTCTGTAACTAATGAGCTACATGCAGTAGATATTCAAATTCAAGAACTTATGGAAAAGCAACAAGAGCTTATTCAGAAAAAAACAGTCCTAACAAAAAAAATAAAGCAATGTTTAGAGGATTCTGATGCTGAGGCAAGCAATGAATGTGATTCTTCACCTGCTGCTTGGAATAAAGAAGGTTTGCTCTCTCTCTCTTTTTTTTTTTTTTTCTCCTTTGCTGGTTTTGCTTCTCATTTTTTAAAACTAGAATGAAATCATTCTGCGTGGGTCAATGCTTTCCAGTAGGCTTAGAGGTGAAATTGGCCATTCCTTCAGTGGCATGGGAAAATTATAGGTAGACTATTCCTCACTGATGTTCTGTAGACTTTTTAAATTAAGCTTTTATTATTCATATTTTATTTTTTCCAAATATGGTCCTAGCAACATTGGTCGATGCTTGAAAAATAAGGTATTTATTTTAGCTAAATTTTCTAAGTTTTAACTAAAAAAGCATTAAGAAAATTATTTGAACTCCTTGCCAAAGTCTAGTTCATTTTCTTGCCCTAGTGAACAAACCTTTTTTGATTCAAGATCTTGCCAAGCATCATGTTTATGATTAATTGTAATAGAATGCTGTAACTGTAGAAGGAATTGCAGTGCTTTTATGGATATTGTTTTCTAGGGATTCACTTCTAAATAGGATATTTATACCAAAAATTCCAAATAATTTTTGTTTATGATATTTGAGTTTTTTACGATGCTGTGAATTCCCTGATCAACATTCATACTGTTTTTCAAATAACTGATTGAGCACCTTACTTTTTTGTGTGAGTAAATTCTCAACTGACAAATGTTTATGTATTTTTTCTGATGTACTATTTCTTATAATGTATCATTTTTGCTTTGCTTAGCTTAGTGAGTTAAACTAATCTCAAAATTATTATAAAAGTTTGGGGCCGGCCCGGTGGCGCACTGCTACAGTGCGCCGCTTGGGAAGCGCGGCGGCGCTCCCGACGAGGGTTCGGATCCCACATGCAGACCGGCCGCTCACCGGCTGAGCGAGGGGCGGGGGCAACACCGAGGGTTGCGATCCCGTTGCCGGTCCCGGTCCGGTATGGGCGCGACACTGAGGGTTGCGATCCGTTGCCGGTCACGAAAAAAGACAAAAAGACAAAAAACAAATTATTATAAAAGTTTAATGGCCCATAAGTATTAAAAGTCTTACATACATTTATCTGATTCTTATCTATTATAAAAGCAGCAATTCAAGTTTGTGTCTCATTTATAATCCTAGTAATCCTAATATATTTAACTTATTTTTCTCTTTTTAGATTTTCCATGGTCTAGTAAAGTTAAAGATGTTCTGCAAAATGTCTTTAAACTGCAGAAGTTTAGACCTCTTCAGCTTGAAACTATTAATGTATCAATGGCTGGAAAGGAGGTATTTCTTGTTATGCCTACAGGAGGTGGAAAGAGCTTATGCTACCAGTTACCAGCATTATGTTCTGATGGTATGTATTAATAAAGATTAATTTTAAGTTGAAAAGTGATTTCTGTTAATATAGTTTTAATTCTTTAAAAAAATAATTTCTAACTATACATACATAAAAATCAGGTGGATTTTTGTTTTATTTATCTCTACATTAATAGATGCTTAAAAGTTTCACTTAAAGGGGGAACGTTAAAGACTTCTGAGAGTAATCCTTTTATCTGGTTCCTGAGACATAATTTAAAAACATGTTGGAGGAGAGAAAGCACTAGAAAAATAATTACTAGACCTGAATTCCAGTCCCAGATCTTTATTGTATGTCTGCTGTGGTGCTAGGTACTAGAGATATAGTAGTGAGCAAAATGAGTGTGGTTTCACAGAATTCAGTGTAGAGTAGTGTTTTCTCAAACTTTAATATGCATAGCAATTGCCTGGTGATCTAATCTATATGCAGATTCTGATTTAATCTGAGACCCAAGATCTTGCATTTCTAACAAGCTCCCAGGTGGAACTGATGCTGCTATTTGGGGGAGAAGCTAGGGAATGGAGCAGGAAACTTTTTCTTTTTTTTTTTTGTCTTTTTCCGTGTCCGGCAACGGATCGCAACCCTCAGTGTTGCCCCCGTACCGGACAACGGATCGCAACCCTCAGTGTTGCCCCCGTA